TGGCATAAAGTCCTCATGCAATTCCCATCACAATAGATAAAATCCTGTTCAGTGAACACCATAAAGCACAGAACCTGGTAAAGAATTAATGCTCAGAAAGGCAGAAGAAGCAAACAACAATATTTTTTCTCCAAAGAAAAACAAAACAGAACACCAGAAAAACAACAACCATAATACTAGGTGGCTTACTTAGAAGGTAGCAGTACTGAGTCACATTTAAAATAAATGTTTTCAGGAACCGTAGTGGAAAACTCTCTGCTCTTCATACTGTAGCTTTTTTTTTTTTTTTTTTTTTTTAAATTTTGATTTGTGCTTTCCATATGCTCACTAGACTAGGTTTTTCCTCTGAAGAAGTGTCCGAGAACAAACCAAGACATAACAGTTCCATACATCTGGAATTAAACATATGCCATGTTTTCCACCCTGCTATGCTCCCCATCAACTGACATATGTCCCTCCACAGCTGTAAGCAAATTTTGTCCTGTTGCAAGGGTACCCTGTATTGTCTTCTCTATCTCAATGGCTAGAACCACACCCAGAGATGCACAGCCATGGGCAGCCAAAGGAACACCACATGGCCAAGAAAACACATGATTTACTGCACCACTAGCCTGCTGCAAGGTCAGTCCCTGCACCTCAATAACCAGAAGACGCACTGCGTGGTCTGAGACTTACCTTTGTGGAAGATGAACCTGAAAACACATATCCTGACGGACCCCAAAAGTTGATATGGAACTTAAAATGGCTTGTAAGATCCAAAGGAGTACTATTACAGTAAATGGTTTGACAAATGCACTGCCCATTGCCATTGAGTGGTTCTCAAGTGGCTGAACAGCTTCTGGAGCTCAGGCTCACAAATCCCTAAGTGCAGCAAGGGGTTAAAACAGCACAGCTTAACAGAGCAGTTAGAATATACTCCCATCAGCCCTGCAAACCTTCAGTGGCCCATGAACAAGAGATAAGAATCAAATGCCCAAAAGCATTTAGAAAGAAGCCCAAGCTGGGGTACCTGCAACCTCACTTGCTCACTGCAAGCAATGTATAAACAGTACTGTTCAGCGTCACTTTGTAGAAAGGAGTTCTTAAAAGGGATAGAATCGTTCCCTTGGAAGGGATTTTCAAGGATCATTCAGTCCAGCTGTCTGACCACTCAGGGCTAGCCAAAAGTTACAGCACATTCAGGAGGGCACTGTCCATGCACCTCTTGTACACTGAGGGCCACAGACTCTGGACAAAATGAAGTTTCAGTATGCACAGTACAAAGGAAATAAACCCCTTCTGCTATCTCTATCCACAGCTGGATTTATCTCTAGCAAAAAAGTAAATATTCCTCCTTCATAGTGGACTCCAGAGTTAGTTAGAAAAGAGATATTTGTTCTGCTCCTCTAACTGATCTCCAAGCTTTCAAGTACAAAAGAGATGGTTGCACAGAAACCACAGAGGCCATCTTTGAGTGTATATCCTGTTGATGATGAAAAGATTTTATGAGTGAAAACAAGAGTCTACATATTCCTCTATACAACAGCTTTTAAATGAGAGAATAGATGGATTCTTCCTGGCTTTCAACAGTACAGAAAGAATTCTCTCTCACCCCACGCTCTCTTCTTCCCATCTCCTAAACCTGTACAGACATTACAGGTCTTCTATTTCTCAAACTGGCACAGAGCTGCTCCCTCTCTTCTTGCCACACTCTTTCATTTCTTGAGAAACAACTCTCAGACATTTCCTATACTTCTGGCATGGTTAAAAAAAGCTTTGTTAACCAGAGGGTGAAACCTTCAGATAGCTTATAATGCCACAGGGTAACACTTTTGAGTTTTAGCCTGAATCCTCAGGATGCAGTTTCCATAAACAGATTTCTTGGCATTGCTAAGAGCATCTCCTACTTTTCTGCACTGCAACCCAACATCCCACCACACTTCAGTTCTGCAGTCCTGAACATGGAAGAGAGTACAGCGAAGGCAGCACAGGAGATAGTTTGTATTTCTCCTCATTTTAACACTGTGGTGACTCAGTACAAGAGGGGACAGGTGACCTCTGCCAAGAGATTGGACAAAAAAAAAAAAAGTGAGCTAGTTCCATTCCTCCAAAGCCTCTGTAGCACACAGACCTCACAGACGTAAACAGTATTTACAGCATCATTGCCTTCTTCAGTAAATATAAAGTCACTCGATGCCTTCATGTTAAGTCTCACAGTTACTCAGACAAGTGTATAAAGCATTGCTTTTCTGTTACTATAATTCTACTCATTCATCATCTCTAGGTTTAATCTTCCTCCAAGATTACTGAATCTAAGCATGAGACACAAAAAGGAAAGAGGAACAGACCAAGACAAGCAGAATTAAATTCTCCAGCCTCCACTCAGCATTACAGGTGTCACACGAAGTTCTGAATGCTAACACATTTGGCATCAAAGAAAAAATTGCTCTAACACTATCACTAGCTACAGTTATACAATATATAAAATAAATACAAGAACACAGAGAGACAAACTGCTTTCTCTCCGGTTTAACTAGAAACTCCCAAGGCAGCTTTAAACAAGATAGCCCTTGCAAAGCTGGCAAAACAGCTGCTGCAGCACAGCCCTGGGCTCAGCCTTGTCATCAGAAGCATGGCCATGCCTTAGCACATGATGATTTTACTCTGGAAAATGATTAAGTTCAAATAGGTGAGTCTGAGGGACTCTGGATGGAGCTTCACAAAAACAGTACAGGTACAAACATCTACCTACACGCATCAGTGCTGCTCATACTCTTTATTTGAATTTCTTTGTTTAGCTTTTATGGTCTAAGAACAAAAAAGATGATGTTACAGAAGAAGATGAAGATTAACCAGTTATAAGTAAAGGAACAGAAACACTTGAGAATGCACAGAGATCCAAAGAAAAATAATTTTTAAAAGCAAATATAATAGTTTTTAGAATAAAAAAATAGATATTCATTATATTCTTGTAAGGAATAAAATTATTTAGCAGCATCGGTTCTTCATAGAAAACATACTGGAGAGAAGTGCAAAGTATGATGTCAGCATCCAAGCATAAGTACACTGAAGAGCATAAGCAAAAGAAGGTCCAGGACCCACTGAGACTGCTAATTTTCCCTTGTGAAATCCATAACTGTATGCACACAAGCTGCAGTTTATTTGAACAGAATGGCTTGAGCATGATCTGAAATTCCAAAATATTCCTAGTCAGAATAAAGGTTTGTCTAAACCTAGAAGCTGTCTCCAACGGATGCCATAAACAGGATGAAGAGCACAAAATAACATTCAGTAAAGAATCCCTAAAAATGTTGATTTAGCTTCCAGCACCTCACAACTGTATTTAGTTTTACCCTGACAGACTTGAATTCCATTTTTCCCTCCCATCTCTTTACATCCATGTGATCTTTTAGCATTCACAAATTCTACTGCAAGGATTTTCTCAGCCTTCTCACACATTTTATGGTCAGTCTCCTCCACTGTCATACACTGTATATCTGATGCACCTGGTTCCAAAATTGGAAGAGACAGTGAACAGTAAAACTCTTTGCTTTCTTTATGCCACCCATAAGTCTTGGAGAAACACTGCATCAGCCATTTGTTTTCCATGCTGAAGATTCATGTTCTGAATATACTTCCTTTATCTTTAAATACTTTACTCTCCAGGCTTTTGGGGCAATATCTTTTTTCCACAACAAAGAAGAAATCAGTTTCCTTGAAGAGGCAGTATAAATGTCAAACCTTGAACTTCGTGGCAAATGGCTGTGACCGTTCTTCTGTGTAGTGAAAATAAACAGCCTCGTTTCTAAAAGAGATATTCAAAGTTACCCCAGTTGACTGGGAGCTGATAATAGATAGGGAACACACTTGAGACTTTTTTCCACATACTGAGTTTATTCTTAGCTACCCACCCAGTTTATCTTTACATTAGAACCTGGACTTTAAAGTTTGCATTATGTATGAGATTCCAGATAAACTTACAGCATTAATTATTCCACAGAAAAGAAAACCCAGCATTAAGAATTCAATGCATTGTTTACATAATAATAATAATAATTACAAATCCCTTTCTTCCAGTAAGTTTGGGCATGACAACTGCATCACTTTGCCACTTTGACTCCTCACTCTTAAGGTACAGCTTCACAAGTATGCTCCTATTAATTGCAACAATTACGAAAACTCATTTTATCACATGAACTTTTGACTGGGATCCATTACAGAGTCCTTCTGCCTCTCCCACCGCATCTAGAATATCATGGTTTCAAAGTTCAGGGTGCTTTGTAAAAGCAATTTATTTGCTGAGGGCAAGCCTAGGGTATTAAGCTTCTCAATTTACCATGAGACATCTTCCAGAACTCCGTTAGTCTGAGAGGGTTACCAGAAATTAACACAGAGGGCTTTTGGTGTCGTCAGCAACAAACACATTCATGTACACCTAAGTACTAAGGTGTTGAACAAGGAGTTGATTATGGCACTGCATTAATGATTGTGCTGTAAGATCATGCTTTTGTGCTAAGTAATGCACAAATCAACCCTGCCATTCCTCTAGAAGCTTATAATTTAAGTATTAAAGAGGATGTAAAATTGGATAAGGGGATGGAATGAGCATTGGTGAAGGTCAGTAAAATGATCAGAGACAAAACAGACTCACAGCCTGTTTTAGCAGCCTCATAACTAACATTTAAAAGCCCATCTTGCACAAATGTCCAGGGCACGAAATATCCAGGGAGGAGAGAAGAAGCCCTTCTTACTATTAGACTCAGGAAGAAGGGAATAGAAGAGAGGCCCCGTGACCTGCTGTGGAAGCAGTCCTGGCAATCTGGCTTACTGGACCTGTCAGGACAAATATTTAGCAGCAGAAAATGATTAAAAGGAAGATCAAGGTAAACCAAATGGCATCAGAAGCGAAAGGCACGCCAAAGAGCAGAGAGACAAGTTGGGCTATGAGCAGATATGAGCAGTGACCAAAAAAAAAAGCCATTAAATTAAAAAAAGAGCAAAAAAGCTAAGCTAGGAAAATAAGCTAAATAAGGGCAATAATAATAATAAGGCAATGCCACATAGAGATAAATTCCAGGAATTGCTATGATCTTGCAAATACCCCAACTTTGTTCTGGCAGAGAGAAAAGGTCAACTAAGTTTCAAGGAGCAGAGATGCAGCTCTCTAAATACAGAGTACCCTGATAGGCTGTCTCCTCCTTCACTGCAATGCTCCACCTGGTCAATCTGCAGTCATGGCCACCATTCATCAAGACAGAGCAAAGACTGCTTATCCAACAGCCTCATCGGGGCTGCACTCCTTTATTAATAGCAATGAAGTCACTAGTAAAGCCCTCAGTTGAGCAATGTCTCAACATGTGTTGCAGCCTACTGAAATAGTTTACTGTTACAGAACGGAAGACACAGAGACCTCAGAAGCACACCTATCCCACAGCTCCACTGAAAGGAGCTGACTCAGTACACTCATACCTACACAACACGTTCATCTGCAGCTAAGCTGCTTTCCCAATGATAAGCACGCTCATAAAAAACACCATGATAAAAAAAATCCACATGAAAAACCTGTCCATCACCTTTGCCACTTTCTTCCACTCAATTCCTTTGGCCCGGTTTGCTTTATGGTCTCGAACACAATTAGCAATATACTCAATATTTTTAATCAGCATTTTGTAACAGGAACAGCAATTAACATTCTCCCTATCATTTTCACCATGAACTCCAAAGCTTTTATTCAAATTTCCATTCAGATTTTCCTTGAGATCACTACCATCATTTTCATTGGAAAGGTGACTCTTTCCATCTGCCCCCCGACACATGTCACCGCCCTCTAACCTGTGTTCTTGTTCTTTCTCTCTTCGTGGACTTGTACAATTTTCACCCACATCATAAACAAAAAAAATTTTTGACATATAGTCCAAGATTACCACTCTGGCCCACTGTGGAACAGGCTTTGCTTCTGAGCCACAGTGATGCACATTCATTATAATGATTGTCAGTGCAGTGGAGGCTGTGATCATGGTCATAGTTGCTATGTAATACTTGCCTGGAACACAAAATAAAATTATATTAAAGATGCTATCCACATTAAAAAAAAAAAAATCATTGCAGAAATAGCAGAGTGACAAAGGGGTTGGAAAGGACAGGGGGGGGACACTGAGAGAAAGCAGATCAAGGCTAGGTCCTGTCTGCTTAGATAGATGGGTAAGGTACTCAAATACAGCAAGTCATAATGTGAGTGGGAATTAATTCTGGTGAGAAAGTTAGCATAACTAAAAATAAATATCAAGTAAATGTAAAGAGCTTCAGTTTAACTGTACAAATACCATGCATACTTCAAGTATTTCACTAGATTATTATTTTTTTCTTAACAAATGCAGCCAACATTTATCTTCCCAAAAGCCATACGTGACACAGTCAATCCGACATTACAGCCCTGATTTCAATAAGCCATGCTTAAGGACAAAGCATGTAAAGCTCACCTATCAGAGGTACGTTTTCAGAGGGAGGCATAATCTCTGCAACCATCAGCTGGAACACAGTCAGAGCAAGAAGAACTGTAACACCTAGAGACACTTTTTCTCCAGAGTCTGCGGGGAGATAGAATCCCAGTGGAGCGAGGAAAGAGATCAAAATGCAAGGAAGAAGAAGATTAAATATGTAGAAAGATGATTTCCTTTTCAAAATCAGCGTAAACGTTACGTCTGGATAAGGCTCAGAGCAGCAGCCGTAAGTGATCACATTCTTAACCGCTGGCATACCATGAATCTCCCATTCCACGTCTTCTACAAAGTCAGAAAGGTCACCACTATCAAGAGAATTGATGATGTCTACCTGATTACCATTATAGGTCCAGGAACCAAATGTAAGGTTGCACTGCTGGCTGTCAAAAGGAAAATAAGACACATCCACTACACATGAGCTTTTTGTGATAGCAGGAGCATCCCAAGTGATTTTTCCATCATATCTCAACACAACATTAGTATTCACAGGTTCTGAAAAGTCATCATCAGCCCTAAAAGACAGAAAAGCAACAGTCAAGATTGACATGCAGCAATTCAGTGCATGGGTTGGGGAAAGCCAGGGGGAGATCCTGGCTTCACAGCATTAAAAGCATGCTTCTGAAAATGTGTTATTAATTCATACTGATTTTTACTAGAAACTTGCTATATTACTTACTGCATTATTTACAAGTACCAGTCCCCATTAGTGCCAAATATCAGTGAAACTAAATTATACTGTATTTCTTGGCTACTGCTTCTTCAAACTTGACCTCAAACAGGGCACAGTGAAATACCAGGTTCATTAAAAAATCTGCTGCTCGTTACTGGCCAGGGAGAGCAGACAAGATATGGAGCCTTTGCCCTTCTGTAGGCACCATCTTCCAAAGCTCTTCAGCAGCTTCTGCAGAAAGCATTTAAGATTGACAGTGTTCAAAACTCAGTGCAAACAGGAAATTCACCACAGCTCTGCTATGTAGCTGGATCAATTGCCAAACTATTTTATCTGTGGCTCTTGGGATGATTAATAATAAACATTAAGACAACAAACATATTCCCCGCTAAGGTAAAATGAAGTTCAGGTTCCATTAGTCATTTCTTCTTCTACCCTCTCCCTTACACCCATTCAAGATGATTCTCTCTGGCCTCACTCACTTGTTATAGAGGACAATATCTGGCCTCCAGACCAAATTGCTTGGAATTCTGATAGAATCCAATCCATCATATTTATCCTTATCCCATTTGAGGTATGCATCATACCAGCTTTGTCGAATCCATAAGTAAGCTGTTAAAATTTGGTTCCTTTCATCCTGCATAAAAAATACAAAAATATTTCTTGTTCAAGGTGAAAAAAAGTACATTCTAGATACTGACAGCATTTGTTGTACAGCTTTAAAGCAGTGCCCAAAGCAGGCCTCAATACTGACAGATACATACGTACATATAGTGTACGTATGGGGAGCTTCTCTAGTCGATCCTCTTCGACACTCTTGTTCAAACCTTCCTCTCAAAAGGAGTTATTTTCCCTGCACCCTCCCTAGCTTTAAATACAGTCACCTAATGTTCTTGTATCTCTAAAAAGTTCCTTTTTCCAGGGTCAGAATAACAGCAGATTTAGCTTAAAACTCTCTGAAAGCTTGAGGTCTTGAAGATGTAATTCACAAGTCAGAAGTGATTTTCCTTTTCCCTTCCAGACAAATTTTCTTTTGCCTTAGAAGTGTATCTGTTAAACTAAGTTTATAAAAAGGTACTGGAAGCTAAAATAGGAGGTTTAAGGAGAAATTAATTGCTCCTTAGAAAAAAACACTCCCTCTTTCTATTTAGTAGCAAAAGTTGCCTGAAAGCTGGAATACAAACACTTAACTGATACTACAAAAAAAAAGTCTTAACAATTCAGCAGCTGTAAGTTTGTAGACACGCAATGGAAGTTGTACAACTGCAATCAGATAAGACTATTAAGAACTGCAGAACATGACCCTTGTGAGGAATCGTTACTGATGTTGCCACAGCAGTATGCAAGCTGCTTTCCTACTTCAAACAAGTTAGCAGTTGGTACACTTCTGCACATTTTCAGAAAAATAGAACTGTATTTTTACTCACCATGTCTTTAATTTGGGACAATGTTATCTGAAGGGTAACATTCAGCACTTTATCTGTGTCTTCCACTGGTCTTAGAGCATTTGAATAGTCTTCAAACAGTTCATTGAACAGCATCTGAGCATATTTCCCTTTGGCTGATTCTACAGCTAGATAATAGATTTGTTCAGTATATCAGATTAAGCACTGAGCAATATCAGCAGCAATCCCCTTCCAATAGCTTCCAAATGCTAAATATAGCAGTTGCTATATTTATCATTCAAATACTGTAGAATATAATTTAGTGCAGAAACAGAGCAAACCTGATAAAGTTGTTCAAATAAAGACAACATTCACCTGTAGTAGATGAATAGCTAGCCCTAGCTTTTCACACCTACATGAAAAAAAAAAACAAAAAAAAAAATCTCTGTATCCAGAGATTCTTGCCATTTTTGAAAGTAAATATCATTACATTTATTTTACTCATCTCTTTCATAGGCATGGAGATTATTGACTTAGACACATCTGCCAAACTAAAATTACAAGCAAAGCCTGAAGCCACACTTGCTCCCAAGCTAATAACTTGTGACATCTCCCTAAACACAGCACTGATAGATTCATGATACTTTCAGAATTCACCTCATCCCCCCTGCACCCTTTTTCTTTTTAAGCAGTACTTGGAAATATTCCGAGCTGCTTTTCTTCACAATTTAACAATTACATGAAACATGAACACATCCCTGGACCAACACATTTCCCACAGCATATATTTGGAGGCATTTATTGCTATCCACGTGCCATGGATAATACACCAAAACTTTAAACACTTTTGCTGTTCCGTACGACTTTATGCATTATAGTTTTTCAAGACAGGGTCTCTATTATCTTTAGATTCATGCATTTTTGCAAGCAAAGGACCAGGATAAGGACATTCACAAGGCTTGTACAAATGCCAGCTGGCATAAGGTAGGAAGCTAGCGTTCTGGAACGCATCGCTCTTTGGTGACTCACAGTTACTTCCTGGGCTAACCAGAGTTCAAAGAAAAACCTCTTGATTAAAAAGAAATCTTAACAAAAATTTCATAAGGAGCATTTAGATCTATCTGGTTATACAGAATCCTTCATTTTCTCAATACATCTGAAAGATGAAGAATAAAAGCCAAAGAAAAACACACACATGAAGGGGACTTCTGGAGCTCAGCCAAGTACGACACATCAGGACACCAACTCCTATTGAGTAGAAGAAAGTTCAATGCAGTATTTAGCTACCAAGAAGTGTTTTCTCACCTTGAAGCATCGTGGCTGTGAACAGCAACCAGAGAGAGACATAAAAGGATGACAGGTTATTTCTCTTCATTTCTAGACCTTAAATAAAACTGTTCACCCAGAAGCATGACAATTTTTATCACTATCCAAAACTGTAACAAAAGATGAGTTACTATGGTACTGAAGTACAGCTACAAGCAACTCAGTCCTCCTGCAGCTGTCAGTTGTCCTGGAGAGATGGCCTCTGTTCCTGCAATGCCTGGGGCTCTGCTGAACCCTCCCTCTCTCTCCGTAACCTGAGAGCTGCCTCCTTGAAGCTAATGCTGTGCAAGACAACAAACGGATGGGATATCAGTAGGAAAACTGTTTTCCATTGCTTTACTCTCTACAAACATACGATTATGTTTCTTCATAGATCAGATATTTTTCATTTCTCCAGCAGGTCAAGACTTAGTGACCTTACATTCAGGAATATCTTGCTCAAAACCAGTCCAGTGAAGCCTGTGAAACCCTCATCAAAATAAATAGATAGATAAATTCAATAACCACAGATTCACTAAGATCATCTAGTCCAACCATCCACCTACTAATATTGCCCTCTAAACCATGTCCATTAAGTAATACATCTACCCTTTCCTTGAAAACCTCTAGGGACAATGACTTCACCACTCCAAGCAACTTTTCCAGCACCTGGCCAGTCCTTCTAAGAATAAATTTTTCACAATGTCCAACCTGAACACCCCCCTGCTGCAACTTGAGGCCATTCCCTTTAGTCCTATGCCTAGTTATGCAGGAGAAGAGGCTGTTGCCCACCTTGCCAGTCTCCTTTCAGGCAGCTGTAGAGCAGTAGGATCTGCCCCGAACCTTCTCTTCTCCAGACTGAACAATCCCATTTCCTCAGCTGCTCCCCATAAGGGCCTGTGCTCCAGACACCTCACCAGCTTCATTGCTCTACTCTGAACATGCTCCAGGGTCTCAATGTCTTTCTCATAGTGAGGGGCCCAAAACTGCACACATTACTCAAGTTGCAGGCTCATCACAGCTGAGTAGAGGGGGACGATCACCTCTCAGTTCCTCTTGGCTACCCTATTTCTGATACAAGCCAGGATGCTGCTGGCCGCCAGGGTACACTGCACTGTTCAGCTGAGCATCAACCAAAGCCCCCAGACCCTTTTTTCCCCCACACAGCTTTCCAGCCACTCTGCCACAAGCCTGTAGTATTGCACAGGGATAATGATATCCTCCTCGATATTTAGTTGGTGTGGTTACACCTGAACATTCCACATCCAATACGTCACACAGCAAAAACTACAACCTACCTACTTGTATACTAACAAAACAAAGTTTTGACCCATCAAAGTGATGCCATGGGGAAGAGATGTAGCTACACCAAGAACTACTGATAACAGAGGCAACAATTGCCAGGGGACATTGAGCACTTCTAGAACCAAGAGTCATATTTCTTCACCACAGGCTAAAGACAATCTTGTGAACTGCTGCACTAGAAATACAGACCTGCTGAGATGTGCAGACTGATGCTGTAATTAGTATATAACCCCATACATTAAAGAACCATGCTACTTTAGAACACTAGAAGGGCTGCTTCAAAAGCAATGCTGCCTGAGGTGGATGGTGGTGGTATGGCAGCAGAGGTTGAACCTTCCCACCAATACTCTGTTACTTTTAATTGCTGTATGGCAGCAGAGGGCACTCTGACAAAATGGCAACTGACACAGAAGTGAATACGAAGCAAAGGGTGTCTCTGAATTTCTCCACGCAAGAAAAATAGCACCCCTTGACATTCTTCCACGCTTGCTGAACATTTATGAAGAGCAGACAATGGTTGTGAGCACAGAGAGCGTGGTGCATTTCAGCAGTGACAATAACAATGTGAAGGGCAAGCCACGTTCCAGACAGCCATGCAGGTTTTTGTGAGCACTGCACACAGACTCTTGTTCATCACTGGGCAAAAGCATATGGGCACTGGTGGTGACTGGCTTTTAAAAGGGTGTTTTATAGTTCAGAATTTGCTCCATCAAATGGTGTTATTGCACTCTTTGTATCTACTGTATTTTCCATGGAAATAAAAAGGAGGCATTTCTTTCAGAAAAACCAATATATTTCCAAAGGAAACTAGGTTCTCAAAATAAGTACACAAGAAGCATGCCTGTATATGTTGATTATTCAGTTTACTCCTACATGTGTATAAACTTCATATTACTCACTATAAATGTGTAACCAGTATATTCCTGTCAAATAGATAGGAGCTGTTGCATACATTATATACAGACAGTGAGCACGCATATCATAGAATGCACTGAGTCACAGGAGACCTTCAAGAGACCATCTTCCACCCCCCAGCCAATGGGCAGGACTGCCACTCATCAGAGCAGTCTGCCTAGGGTTCCATACAGCCTGGCTTGAGCACCTCCAGGGATGGAGCATCTACAGCTTCTCTGGGCAACCTCTGCCAGTGCCTCACCAGTCTCTGAATAAAAAGGATTCCCTTTAAGGCTGAACATAGATCTCTTCTCTTCCCATTTAAAACCATTTCCCCTTTCTCCTATCACTATCAGACCCCATAAATTGTTGGTCTCTCTCCCATTTATAAGCTCCCTGTAAGTACTGGAAGGCCACAATGATGTCTCCCCAGAGCCCTCTCTTCTCCAGATTCAACAAGCCCATGTCCTTCAGCCTCTCATAACAGGAGAGGTGCTTTAGCCCTTTGATCATCTTCATGGCCCCTCCTCTGAGCCCACTCCAACAGCTCCATGTCTTTCTTGTGGAGGTCCCTAGGCCTGGATGCAGTACTCCAGCCGGGGCTTCATGAGGGCAGCAGAATGGGACAGTCACTTCCTCTGGCCCCCTCCTCTTTTGATGCAACCCAGGATCCAGTCAGCCTTCCAGGCTGCAAGTCCACACTAGTAAAACACGAAATACTTGTGATGCTTGAGATGCTACATTGACTACACAGTACTAACAAAAAAAAATACAGAATACATCCAAAAGCCTTTTCAATATTAAAGACTTAATAACTTCAACAGTTGTTAATAACTTTAACAGCATGTCAGACCATTGGTCTCTTCTAGATTTTTTCCCCAATAAATCTGATTTGTGATTCTAAACCAAACATCCCTGAAGTAGACATTTGTGTGAAGGTGAGTATAAAGATTCGTTATTTAATGATCTGAGAGATTCATCTAGACACCCACACTTCCTTGGAATATAGTTTAAAATTGTGGCTTAATCTATAGTACTACTACTCCCAGATGAAATATTCCATTTAACAGTTGAACAGAGTATAAATTTGTCAAACAGTTCTGTTTTTCCAGCAACGTGTTCTTCTATGAAGTCAGGAATATAAGTACAAAGCAGATTACACAGAGAATTTCAGAGTCACAGGTGTTTGCAAGTTAGATTCCAGTCATTAACTTCTCCTAAAACTAAACTTCGCGACTGGGTGGAAACAAGCCATCCTGCAAGAGTGTATCAACCAGCAGATGGCCCTGTTAGCCAGCCCACCAGTTTACCCAGACATTCAAGATGATTTTTGTTTATCTTGTTTTTAAGTACCTTCACTTTTTCATATACTTGGATTAATTTTGCTGATTATTTACCTTTTGTTTAATACAAGATGAACAAAGACAAGACTTTCTTTCAAAGAAGGCAAGCAGAAAGAACAGAACTATTTAGTGGCTAACTGTGGCTCTGGGTCTGCCTAAATTACATACATGAGGTTAATCACAGGAAGGTCTCAGGGAAGCAAATATAAATCACTGTCAAAAACTGTTACAATATGAAACCATGCTTAGAGCACTGACTGCTTCTGGTGATGCAGAGAAAAATTAAGGCACAATATCCAGCCCCATTTCCTTATGATCTTATTCAAACATTTGACTTTGCTCTGTTCTTTTCATAGCCAGTACACACTTTGACACTGTGCTTGTATTCACATTCAATGGGACAACATTGTACCATTCATTCCACAGTGCACTGAGCCAGAATGATACTCTCATGACAAGCAACTTCACTGTTCCAGGCAAACACATAAGTTGCAGTGCAGAAACCTGCAAAATACAAATGCAGCATAACACCATGCAAGGTAAGGTTAACTTTGCATACATTTTATGGAGAAACTGAAGGTGAGGAGGATCTCTTTGCATATTAAGTATCTAGAATCTGGAAGTTTTTATCTTGGACAAATTACAAAGCAGGAAAGTTTAAAAACTTACTTTTTTTTTTTAAACTGAAACAAATTGTAAAATCATTCCTTCCTCAAATAATCCTTTACCCCTGAGGCTAAGATTTTGACTTTTTTTTCTTAAACATTCTCATCCTTTCTTGCATGATACACAAGAAGAGTTTTTAGACCTCCAACTGAAAAAGCAACAGATACTGTATTATCACAGACCTCAAGGCCGTCTGTACCATTTATAATCCACTCCTTCATCAGAGAACAATAAAGAAGAACAGATTGGTTTCCAAGCACAGTTTGTAAGAAGCGTCTCACAGTCTGCTTCTACTTGCCTTCCTGCCAATTTTTCTTCCCAGAAGCTGTTGTGCTCACATTCTCCTCAGCATTTGCTACAGAATATTATCTTGTGATAGGGTCAAACAGCACGCTATCTTCAGAGTCAAGCTTCTCTTCTACTAAGACTGGTTATTCTAAGGAGGAATGACAACAGCTATTCCTGCCAGCAGAACAGCCTAGCTGTGCCTACCCCAGAGAAGCAGAGTACAGCACTTCACTTAAATGCAGCATGTTTCTCTCCGCCCCATTTTCTCACCCACCTACTGCCTCCTCCTTCCTTCTCTCTAAAAATCCCCTACCACCTGAAACCAGCACACTCATTCATATTTTCTTCTTCTGCAGTACGTGCAAAAGACAGGAAATACATAGGAGTGTTCAGCATGTTAGGTCATGAGATAATGTGGAATATTAGCTATATTTTCCAGAAACAGTAAATCCTGTTAAATGTTAGTCATGAGCTCTGAAAATAAATTTTATTTTGGCCCACTTACATATACAGTTCTACTGATCATCTTGCAGCATTTGAAGAGGAACCTTTTCTCCTAAAAAGCCTTGTACTG